GTTTATGCTCGCCTTAGTGACAATTTTCTAAAATGGAAACTCGTGGGAAATCATTACAGTGTTTATATGTCTCCCTTGTCGGATAGCGTTATCCTGTGATATTTTACCAGTGTTTTCCACTGCATGATGGCATCTCGTGAAGGTTAAGGTGGAACAAGTCCCTCTGTAATTTTGTGACTACATTTTACTTACTGAAGAAGAAAAGATAACTGACAATTAAGTATTTAGGATGTCACAGAAAGAACATGTGCAAGTAATCAATGCTACCCTTTGGGAACATGCTTTTATAAAGCTGATAGGGTAGAAAAATTGGGATTTTATGATTTGTGTTACATGATGATAATTGCACCTTTTCAATAAAAAAGACATTTCTCTGAGAGTAAACATGGAGCTTACAGGAACTGCTGGTAGCAGTGATGTTGTTTTTCTGCTCTATTCAGGCATTTTTTAAAAAATGTTTTTGTAGAGTATGAGATTTTTTTCCATTTATCTTTTAGAGTGTTATTTCTGAAGGAATATGTAGTCCACTTTAAAGAAAGTTGGCAGCCTTGAGCACGCTCAGTGACCACGCGCCCTCCGGGGCAGCACACAGTTAATTTAAAGGTTCTTTCCCCTGGCCCTCAGCTGCCTTATTCCATGCTTGGTGCCCACTGTTGGATGTTCTTTTTGTGGGAGGTGAAGTCTTTTAATTATTTTCATCACTTGCCTATACCTCTTCCCGTGTTTATTCCCACTTCTTTTCTTTGGGGAATTGATCATCCAGTGTTAGTGTAGTGGGAGCACAGAGGGGTAAAGAGTTTGACACCTTGTGGAAGCAGCGCTTCTTGCTTGCCTCCACTTGAGACCCACAGCTTGTGAGTGAACAGAAAGACGCTCTCTATCTTGCTTCTGGGTAATTAATTCTACCTCTTCCAGTATTTTACTCAGTGCTTACAGCTGTAAAATGTAATAGGACTTATTTCTAACTTTCCTCCAGTGTGTCACTTTCGTTCTGAATTCTGATCTCTTACTGCATGAGTTGTTGCCAGGCCATGCATGCTGACTTGGCTCTGTGAGTGCCAGGCGTGGTGGTGGTGAGACTCTCACCAGCATCTCGGTGAGGAATTAGATAGCCCTGCACCCTGGGCCATTTGTGCCCCTGGCCTGCAAGTGTGGCCAGCTGGTCCTCACAGCTGCACTCTCACCGAGCAGGAATAGACCTTACAGTCATATTTTCCATAATGTTCTGTCAAGTTTGGGAACCTTCCACACCTCTGAATGTCATGTTTTTAAGGTAAATGTAGAAGGCACAGGTGCTGTAAATATGAACTACTTTCTACAACTAGTGAAACAGTAAGTTTGGTTTTATTAGGAAGAATCCCTTACCATTGTAGCCTCACTGCCAGGCAAGTATTTTCAGCTGCAGCCCAGCGCTGAAAGCATTCATGAATTCTAATAGTAAGGCAGTACACACTCCAGCAGGGTTTAATTGACGGAGAGGTGGAAAACAAACAGAAAGGCTGGGGGCCCTCCAGGGAGCTGGCATGCAGCAGAAGCCTTGTCTTCTGCCGAGGAAGTGTGCCCAGAGTGTGCCCGCCACGGCTGTGCTAATGCAGGTGCCTTTCACAGGCCATCAGGCTCTAAGGAACTCCTACCTCCGAAGGCACAATTATATCTTCATGTGTACTTTTCAGCAAGCAAAATACTCAGCTTTTTCCCAGTTCTAAAAGAACCCATGAGTCAGAGACTAAGAAGCTGTGTTCACCAGATGGTCAATAATCCGAACTTCTGAAGTGGGCAAAGCAGGCTGTTGGGAATCTATGTGACAAGGGTACCCAAAGGAAAGGCCGTGAGTATCTCTTGAATGCCCATCGTTGTATGTACCAGACTCGTGGAAGCATCTTACTGAATCTTCACATGACCCCAGAGTAGACAGGAGGGATTTGAATCCAGGTCTTGCCCCAAAGCCCACGTACTTGATGCATGCACGCCGCGCTGCCATCCAAAGAGTGGGAGTGATGAAGCATAGAAGACTTAGAGAAGTAGAGACAGCGGTCTGAAGCCAAGGGGAGAGATGATTTGATGTACAAAAATGTGTTTTTTTTTTTAATTAAGAGCTTATCTGTGGAATAAAGTGATTTAAACCAGACAGGGTCCTGGGTATATGAAATGAGGTGTCTGCAGCTTGCTGGAGGGGTGGTTCATCCTGGGCAGCAGCTCTTCAGGAGCCTCGGAAACTGTACGTGGAGGGGAGCCGCGCCCCTCCTCTCTTGCAGTCTCTCCCAGTGAGTGCCTGTGTTTACGGACTGAAGATGGGAGTGATTTCGTTCTTTTACATCTCTGTGCTGGTGCCGGTCGTTCCACTTGTACATATTCTATTAAATTAGGTGAATTCTGCTGTCTTGCCCTTCATCTCTGTTTGGACTTAAGTACACATTCTTTTCATACAAGTTTTCCTAATAGAGTTTAGGAAATATTCCTGCCCACAGAACTGTATGCTTAAGCAGCCAACCCCCCAGTGCTGCCTTTCACCTAACTGCAAATCCTAAACATTTTGGTCATTGTTTCCTGGAAATTATTAGTTGAGAATATTCAGGAAACAAAAGTAAATACAAATTTCTGGAGGAGTTTTCTGTATTCTTTTTTGCCAGCATATATTACCTAAAACAATGTGATCATCTGTTTGGAGAACTCTGGGGAGGCTGAGCAGGATTAATTCCCACCCCTGTGTTGCGGTGTAAACAGCTTTTTGCCTGTCTTTTGTCATTAATGATCATGCTGTAGATGTAGCCAGTGCATTGTAAGCCAATCTGTCATGGCAAATAAACAATTCACCTTGTTAAAATTCCCTAAATCTTGCATTAATAAAACCAAAGTAACCCCCTGAACACTCAAGAGATGTCTTCCTCCATACTGCAGTGATGGATGACACGTCTAAAGATCCTGAAAATTAAGTAGTTCGGGTCATTAAAAGTGTCCCACACTTGTTATTGATTTAATTTATTTTAAAAAGGTGGGGGTGGAGATAAGAATGGTGCACCCTCCCCCATTTTGTTTTTAAATCTGAAAGCCACCATTTATATGGATAAAACTGTATTGAACAGCTCCCAAATATGTTCAGGTTGTTTGTTTTTTAATTCAAATAGGTATTATATCATCTTCTTAAGCAGACACATGGGAACATCTTGGAGTTTTACATGTGTCATGATTCTTAGAACTTTTGTGTTGTAGGCATTGAAATAATAATCTCTGGGCACCCAATAAAACTCCCTTGGGCGAGTAAATTTAAATGAAGGTGAAATGATTTGGGGGAAATTAACTTAAATAGTAACAAAATTGTGTCTACAGGCATAAGGACTTTTACTGAACTTTTCATTTTTCTATTTTTATAGCTAGGGAAAGAATAAATATTACACATAATATTGATGGATGGATGGATGAGAAAACATTCAGAGAACAGTGTAGAATATTTTTATTTTATTTTATGTTTAATTTTTATTTAATGTATATATTAAATAAAAATATTTTTATTTTATGTCACTGTCTCTAAGTGGAGTTTAAGCTGTTGCATCTGTGCTTGTTTATCTGCAGGCTTCCCTGCAGCCCACGCTAACCCACCCATGTCCACTGCCACATGCAGTGCCCAGGAGATGTCCAGTAAATACTGAATGAGTGCAGCAGAATCCCTGGCCACCTTTCCTGTCTTCTGCTCCACACCGCTGGCAGTGCAGTGGGCCGTGTGAGCACAATGACAGCACCCGACAGGTCCGGCCCCCAGACACGGGGCAGCAGCAGGGGCGGATGCTCGTGCCACACAGAGCTCGGCCAAGCAGCACTGCAGCACGCGTGCCCTCACACTGTGTCTGCCCTGGACGGGGCAACAGGGCTCCAAAACCTTACAAGGAATGGGGCAACTCAGTATGTACATTATGGCCAAAAGCAAGATACTCTTTAGATTCCTGCACCCACAGTTTGACTTGCTGTTCGTCATTTGTTATCTCATACATCAGCTTACGTAACTGTTCCTGACCAGCTGTGTGGATGGTATTTCCCCATAAATTCCCATTGTTCTTTAAAGAACATGTGCTTACTGGGGGGCCTGGCACATGGTAAGTTATAAAAAAGGACTGCTGAGAATAGTTGTACTAACTTCAGAGATTGTTGTATAGTCTTTGGTGCTTTTCTCTTATGACCTTTGCAGTAAATAGGAAGGATCTAGGAAGGAGAGGTAGCAATATATAATCAGTTCAAACACTGGCAGATTCTTTAAAAGATGTAGATATGAAAATGCACTCTGTAGTTTTCCATCAGATTTCTGCTTGAAATTGCATGATTTGGATCTCTTGAGTACTGACATGGTTATCCCATTATGCCAGCTATTTAGCAGAGCTGTTTAGATGAAAGAACACTATAGATTTTTTCAGTGTATACACTGATTTACACTTAGCAGTAAAGTTGTTACTGACCCTTTAAGTGGAGCTGTCCAAATGGCAATAAATGTCAGTTGATCTTAATACTGAAACAGGTGATGGCTGGGGGTTTGATCAAGGCTTTCAGTTAGCAGAACTACTTACAATACTGCCTCAACACAAGTCACCTCTTGTGGGATACATTCATGTATACAGACCACTTTATTACCAAGAAAAGTCTCACTACAGATATTAGCAATAAAATTGATGTACTCAGGTTCTGAAATATTCTGGATTAGAATCTCTATGAAGGCAGGGCTGTGCCTCACTAGTGCCCCACTGTCTTGTCCTCTGCTCCGTTCTGAAGTGCAGGAGATGCTCAGAAACGTTGGGTGAAGGGAGAGATAGGAAAGATGCAGCAAGTGTGCCATACAGCGTGTATGTCGGCCTGAACTCTTGATGGGTGAATTGGGGGTCATCCCTCGCACTGAGTGTGAAGAGCATTGCTGGCGAGGCCTTTGATGGACGGTGATGACTTTTTGATATAGCTCCTTTGATTGATTGTCTGGCACACTTCACTTCAGTTTCTAATTCTGTTTTTTGCTTTCACAGGCTGTCATTTTAGAAAATGAAGAACTTCCGAAACTGTTTCTTGATTTCCTAAATGTGAGACACTTGCCCTCTCTACCAAAGGCAGAAAGTTGTGGGTAAGAATTGTTGTTTACATATTGGGTGTGTATTTTAAGTTACTTTCCAATAACTGATTGGTCTAAAGAAAATACCCCAGAGTGATCGGCACAGACAGGGCCAGCCACACCCGGTCTTCAGTTGGGACAGCATTTGTTTGCTCACTGCGTGTGGTCAGAAGAGTAACCCCCAAGTCTTCAGCCATACCTTGTGGCCAAATGGCCAGCCCTTGGGAGTTCACCGTTCAGACACGGGAAAGGACCTTTTAAACTGAGCTGTTGGCGCTATTGAAGTTACACGATGGTAACTGTGAATCTCGGAACTTGCTTGGGGCCCGTTTATTTATTTGTGGGTACGTGAGCCAGGCCCATAGCCCTTTGGTGTCCTATAAAGCTATAAATGACCTTAGAGGTGATTTTATCCAACTCCTCTTATGTAATAGTTGAATAAACAGACACAGAAATTCAGTGCCTTTCCCAGTATCTTCAGCTTCACACTTGGCAGAGCCCAAGCCTTTGAGTGCCAGCCTTTATTCTCTGCTGTTCCTGGGAACTTCTAACGGCTGGGCTGCAGACCCTACTCCCTGTCTACCAAGGAGCCAGACATCTATCGTGCCACAGTGGGGAAAAGCTTCCCTGAAGAATCTACAGCAGGATTTGTGCTCCTCGCCCAGCTGCGAGCACGTGCCTCGGGCTCTGCTGGCCTCTGCGGCAGTGAGCAGCATCCCAGCAGAGTAAAAGCACTCACAGATCCTGCTGGGAGAGGGATCTTACCACTCCTTCCCACAGCCTACAGCCCCCGCGGAAGGAACCACACTAACTCCAACACCATCACACTTCACCGTGCCCGAGTCCCACTGAGCCCTAGCCAGCGGTGGGACGGTTCCTCACCAGAACGGCGCCCTGGCTCCAGAGCCAGAATCAGATGCCATGCCTACTTTTACGTTGTCTGTGTGCTCAGCTCCAGCCTGTGTGACTGCGTCTATTAGCAGTTAGGCTTATCATATCCAGCTCTGTGTTTTAAGAAGAGACATTAAAAGTAACAGTGAGTGAAGTCTTTATTCATTATACAAGCCCCAAAATAATATTGAAACCTTAGGATTTTACAGTGATCTTCAGGACAATAAAAATCAAAACCTTTTCCAGGCTTAGGATCCCTCAGGCCAAGGCATCGGCTGTGTGGGGCTTAGCACGGTCGTGACGGTTCTGTCTGTGTCCCAGCTCAGTGATGTGAGAGCACTGCCTATTCTTCCCTCTGTGGCATAAACATGGCTTCTACTTATTTGGTCTTTTTTTTCTTTTACAAACATTTTAGATCCTTTGATGAGACAGAGTCTGAGGAATCAAGGTAAGAGCCAGTATTAGTCAATTAGTCATACAGACCCAAAATGGGACTAATAGTTTTATTAAATATGTAATTACCCTGATAAAGTGATACAGTCAAGTTTTCCTGAAAACTTTTGGTGAAAATAGGTTTTAAGATGGAGAATGTCTGACAGGGAGCTGTAGAGTAGCCAGCTCTAACTGGGAGTGATGGAGGCCTACGCTGTCTCATATCGTAGGAGCCCTATTTCTTTTATGACCGTATCACAAAACTTTCAAGAAAGGACTCTCCATGTTGCGTTGTACAGATTGCGTGTCTGCCTCAGATTCCACAAAGAAACGCTCGGAAGATGAGTGCAGTGCTGGTGTGTTCCTCTGTGTCCGCTGTTCCCCCACACTGTGAGATGCCTCCGTCTCGAGACAACCCCACACAGCAGTCTGATCCCCTCAAAGCTAGTTTGTAGTGTTTTCTGTTTACCATCGCCCCTTGATGCTGACATGCTTGTTCTTGACCTTTCCAGCAAACTGTCCCACCAGCCGGTGCTGCTGTTCCTCAGGGACCCATACGTCTTGCCTGCAGCCAGCGGTAATCAAACCTGTCATCTGCTAACAGCTCTTTACTGATCTGACCTGCACCACATAAACCACGTTTTTAATACCGGTCTAACAGAGTGGCATTGGTCCCGGGCTTAATCATCTGCCAATAAACCAGTGCTCTTGGTGTAAGAGACATTTAGAATTTTAATTGGGGCCAGCCTTTCAGTAGGAAATGTAATTTTTCTTTCTCTCTTAACACGCCATTTTGAATTCTAGCAAGAAGGGGTAAGATGGGAAGGCATTTATTGTCTTCAGTTTTTTTGGTGGTATTGTTTGGGCTGCTGTTTGTCTTTAATCCAGATGCCAGGATCAAATTTAAAGCTCTAGTCCTTTCAAAAAATGTTTTTCTTAAAATACATATTGCAGTTGTATCTCCATTTTCATTTAGATCGCAGCATCTTAGACGACCAAGTATGCATATTTTTTAAGGTTGCACATTTAAATATAGTAACTTATTTAAGTATAACTTAGTATTTTAGTCTTGTTTCCTTTCTCCGTGCTAGGAAATGTAGATCCCCACAAGTCCCTTTCAGAGTGAGTACATCCTCAGAGTGTATCTCAGGTAATTTTCTTAACGACTCTGAAATAGGCAGGGTAGATAGAATGATTGGTCAAGTGAGAAAACTGGGGCTCAGAGAGACCCAGACGTGCCTGGTCTCAGATGGCTGATGGCTGGACCTCTTGTTGCCTCAGTTCTCCTGTGCTTCTTGGAGCAAGTGAATTTTCAGCCATTATTTGTGAGTCGCTAAATAGCATGCCAACTAGATGGCAGTAGGTGAGTGATTTGTGTAAACTGTGCCTTGTTTCTGATAGTAAATTGCTGTCACCAGCAAGAGTAGGGGAGCTGTTGTCTATAGCAAGCATGCTCATGCTCAGATCACCCCCAGGGCTGTCAGCTGCAAGAAGCGGGGCTGGGACAGTCCTGCTCTGCTGAGCAACCCGTCCTAGTGCCCTGGTCAGGGACAGTGGCCTTTCTGTAAAAGTGGAGTCTCGTAGTGTGCCCCTGAGATCTTTCAGTGAGAAATAGTTGCCTCTCGTAAGCACTTGCTTCCCATGTTCACCTCCATATATGTATTTATGTGCATACATGTGTATATATGTATATATATGTTGATGTTATGTGAAATACTATATCAGATATTCATAATTAATCATCTAGATTAGGTAGGCAGTTTTGTAAAATATTATCTTTTAAAAATGGCTCTATAAGCACTGTTTCTAGGTATTATTTATGTTCAGACATTTCATGCAGTTGACCAAAATTCCTGCAGAAATACGGAGAATGGAATGATGACTGCTGACAATGATGTCCAGGTTACTTAATGGAAGAGAGGAGATTCTTTATATCTCTTCACCCAGCTTCATCCAGCTTCGTGAGAGACACGCCCCAAATGCTACACAACTGGCTTGACAATCAAGAGCAGGAGGAGGCTTCTGGGAAATAACATCAGCAAATGTATGGAGCTAGGAGTAAGATGTGTGTGTTGCTGGTAGTATAGTAGTGTGGCGGAGAAATTGCAAAACGAAAGAACCCTTCGAGAGTGCTGGAAGTAATGTGTTTGGTGATTAGATAGAACCAGGCTTGAGAGGGTCAGTTACCACACCTATTTCCTTGGAATTTGGCCAACCCAGATTCATAAATGATACTTCTGTTGTCTTAGAAGTTTTATACTAATAATCTATTCTTGCAAGTCTTTAGAATTTAACTTAAAGAGAAACTTTACTTCATCACATTTTTGTACTGGGTCTGTTAGCAAGATGTTGAGGTTATTATTCCAGAGAATACTGAATGTAAAAATATTTTGATAGGTACACTGATCCCTACAAAGTCAGAGTGTCTGCCTTTAAAGTTCTGATATTTAAACGTCATCTTCTTATAAAATATTAGTAATCAAACATCCTCTTAGCTTTTAACATCAGAAGCCAAGAGACGTTTGTACTTCCTAACAGATTGGAAAGCGTGTACTTTGGACCTTTGTTTTGCTTTTCTTGGGAAGTGCAAAAGAACCCTTTGAACGGTTCTCGGTGAACTCTCCTTGGCTGTACCCCCGGACAGCGTCTCCATCTGACGTAGCCTCTCAGCAGCCAGGCTGGGGAGCACATCCTCCTCCTGTAAACGCAGCCTCCCTGGCTCTCCCAGCTTGCCTGGGGGCTGCGCAGATCTGCTGCTCCTCTCCTTGGTGCGGCCTGGCCCGCTCCGTGTGTGAGACCGAGGCGTGGCGAGTGTGTCCTCATGGGCATGTCCGCGCGGGTCTTCACACAGCCTCCCCCTCCCCCGTCCCCGGACCTCTGCGCCCCCTCTGCTGCTGCTCCTTGAATCCTCCCAGTCCCGGCCTCAGCCTCATAGAGGGACGCAGCTTCACAGCCGTGGCCAGCACCCCTGGGCTGGAGCCTCTGGGCGCCCTTCCCCCACCTTCCAGTAAACATCCATTCAAAAATTAAAACAGATAAAACTTATGCCTTATATCACAGTCTTTCTCATCAATTCTCAGTGGTAAGCAAGGGCAAAGACAGTTTTCTGAGTAATTGGAGCAGTAATTACGGACTGTTAAAGCGGGCGTGCCGTAAAGCCAAACTCCAAAGTTTAAAATGGAGGGAAAGCCAGGCAAGGCACACCAGCTAGATAGCAACAGATGAATGGCATGCCTATAATCCCAGCGCTCCAGGAGGCTGAGGCGGGAGAATCACCAGTTCAAGCCCAATCTGGGCAATTTAGTGACTTAATAAGAGTCTGTCTCAGACTAGAAACAACTAGCTCGTGGGTCCCCTGGCTTACCGAGACTACCACTCACTCATGTTTACTTGGCGCCCAACCGTCTGCACTCACTGCGTGTTAGGCAGAGTGTCTGCACTTGGCTTCCCTCAGCCGCACAAAGTAGGCGTTGTTAGGAAATCCGTTTTGCAGCTGAAGGAAAGGAAAGTTTAACAACTCACCTGCAGCCGTGAAGCTGCTGAGTGGTTTGCTAGAACACAGAAGCCGCCTCTTAGTAAGTATCTGTTGAGGCGCACAGGTCTCTGTGTCTACCTGCTGACCTCTGGTGAGTCTCAAGGCCTCCTCCAAAGCTGAAAGATCCGTGTTCCGCTGAGCCGTCGGCCCTTGCTTGCATAACCGGAACCGAGAGCACCTTGCCTTCGGTCTCCCTTTGCTCACGGTCCCCTGAGAGCCACCATCAGGTCGTACCCTCGTTCTCCAGAACCCTCGTCTTTTCTGCCTGTGACACGATGAGCAGCCCAGTGACAGCGCTGATCTTGTGCCCACTTCACATGCCAGAGTCATCTTTTCAAACACAGTCTTTTTCTCTCAGCAGCTTCTCCTTATATTCCTCATAAAGCCAGGATTCCTGCTGATTCTTCCCGGGTGTGACTTGGCGCCCTCCCCTCCCCCTGCTGCTGAGCTTCCACTTAGATCTCTGGGGCCTGCAGGCCCCGTGAGGACCTTCTGCCAGCACTGCCCTCCTCAGCCTGCCCTCCCAGCAGCCCCCTGCCTCCCTCACTCCCTCAGTGAGGCCTGGTACCCTTGGATGTGGTCTTTACGTAGAAGGTACAGTACTTTCTAGGGGAGGGATTAACAAACATGTTATTTCTTTTTTATAAAGAATTTTTTGTAAAATTTCCTTATATAATAACTATACTTAAAGTACTCAGCATCGTTCGTGGGTGTAATTACACTGTATGCACAGATCAAAGTTTAGAACAAACAGCTGAACCATGAGACAGACCGGTTCCCACTCAAGAAACCCATTCATATTTCACCTCTCTGGTAACTGGAGCATGGTACAACATACTGTGTGCTTCTGGTTCCCTTTGTGTCTCCCACACAGAAGCAGCTGGTATTTCAAGTTTGACAGGATGGCTTTTGTTGGAAATTTGCCCTTTAAAGTTAGGAAGACAGACCCCCATCTTTCTGCTCCCTGGAAGCCAATGTAATAGAACAAGTATACTCAAGACAACTTTGAACTAAACGCTGCTGTTAAACCACAGTGGAAAAACTGCTGCGAAGTATTCCCAGTAGAAATCTTGGAATTCCTTCAAGTATATTGAGATTTTGTTAGAAATTGAATTGCCAGTGTAATCCATCTTCCTTGTGAGAAAACATTCAGATAAAGAGCTGGGGCCTAGCAGCATTAACCATTAGAACATCCCTTAAATCAATAAGCTACAAATCTGGCCATCCATTCCTGCGGCACCTGCTGTTGGCTGCAGCACGTGAGTGATGGCACGTCCTGCACACACAGGCCCTGGGCCGCCAATGCTGCTGACGGCCTCCGCTCGCTAAATTCTGCAAAATGCAATTATATTGTATTGATGTGCAGAAGAGAACGAGTTTCCCTTTTGTTTTTCAGATTTCCCAAATGTGGTCATTGAAGGCGTGCTCCACGGGGTGTTTTACCCTCATCTGCAGCCCAGGTAGAAGTCCTGCCCTGCTCAGAGAAGCTGAAGCAAGTTTCACATTCATCGTCAAGGAAATCGATATCTACCAAATTAATCTAAACTCTGTGACACAACAGCTCTCACCAGTGATCAAATTCTTGGTCCACCTTAATTCAGGGCAGGAATGTTTCTGTTAGAACGGTGCTTTTAAAAGTAGAAACTAAACCAGGGTGGTGACCATGGTCAGTCCAAGTGTGTGCGCAGAATGTAGCCAGCAACTAGAAAATCCAGGAGGAGGCGGCTGTGGGGGATTCCTGGGGGCACCGAGCGTGACGCCACCAGTCACTTTCTGCTTAGGGCACCATTTGCTAATTGAAAGTCGCACCCTGTGTTATTGTGAAACTCAACTCCTTGGCTGGCTTTTTTGCTCAGATCACTTACTGTGCCGATCTTTTCACCATGAGATTTTTCTCAGCCAGGGATGGTACACTGTAAAGTCCTGTCAGCTGGAAGTGCGTCACAGAAACACTGTGTTAAGTGCAAGTAAGGAACCAAACTGGACCTTAAATTATGCTGATGTCATTACTGCATTTAGAGACCGTGACGTTTTAACTTACACGTCAGTGGAGTCGCATCGCACCTCGGGTTAGTGCAGAGATGAAACCAGGACCAGGAGGACCTGGCCTTCGAAAGGTGTTGCATGAGGAGCCTGTGCGCCACCATGTCGAGATTTTCTGCTGGTGTCAGAAGCCATGATGGTTCCTTTGAAGACCGGTGACGCTGCTGGTAGTTTTTAGGGGCCATTTTGTGTCAAGAGCACCTTCTTTTAAACACTAGACTCACACTTGGTCCTGGGAGAAGCTTGTGTGGTGGAGGAGGCACCAGACAAGGCCTAGGGCCGGCCTCTGGGGCTTCGCTTGGTGCGTGCTGCTGCAGAATCTGCACTGCTCTGGTGGACTCCTACTCCCGACCTCAGGCTTAATTTAACGTAATTTAAATGTGCACGTGACTCCACTGAACATTGCACCGTCCTCAGTATTTTGAGTAGTAAAGGGCAAAAGCAAATATCCTACCTATGTGTATGTGCTATGTGTGGGCATGTCACTGAATACTAACTAATAACTAGCCTATTTATGATTATTAGTTTTAACAAGTTTCTGTGTGGGAAAAATATTTAAAATTGTAACTAATAACCAAGTCGTTTTCTGATTAGGATCTGAATATACAGGTTTAAAACCAGCTGCAAACTTCTAAAGATTATGTTTTATGATAGATTATGTTATTACATGTTAGAAATAAGCAAGAACTAAGTACTGAGGGCTTCTCAACCAAAAATAATATTCAAGTATTACAAATATTCAAGTATTAGAAATAGTTGTGAAATATTTTTATGTTACTAGCTATTTTGAGTTAAATAAAAACAAGCAACAAAAAATACTGGAATTTGTCTTCTAGAAATTTAGTGGAAACAGGGTTGTGTCTCTTCGCATATGCACACAGACTGCTCTCATTCTCACGCAGACATGTCTAGTCTGATAAGGCACTGCATTAACTCGTCTGCTTTTTAGTTCATCTATTATTAAGCCAACAGATAGTCATTAAATACTCAATGATGTGCCAGAATAATAAGAATTGTACAATAAATAACAACAAGCATACATAGTGAAACACTGCTCAAGAAATCTTTTTTGAGAACTAAAATTTTTTCTTAGAGATTACTTTCATTTTTATATTTAAGCTTGCAGTGTGTCATTTCATCGGTTGGGATCCTTGCAGGAACTGGAAACCACTGCAGGTCTTTTAAGCAGAAAGGGCTGCGTATTCAAAATGGAATGTTGAGGATGTAGCTCAGTGGTACAGCACTTGCCTGTCAAACATGAGGTTCTGAATTTGATTCCTGGCTCCCCCCTACCAAAAAGAAGAAAAAGTAAAATCAAAACTGAATGTTTACAGGACCTTTTGGAAGGGTGAGTGAACTCCTTCCAGAAAGCCCTGAGGTCTGCATGACCTGCCAGGGAGCCACAGCCTGTGCTCTAAGCAGGGATTCGGTCAGTCAGGAGCTGCTCGTGGATCGCTGAAATGGAAACCAGCACTGTGCAGGCTGGAGATTGGGAAGAACTGGATCACTGTGACCACCTCACAACAGCACCCAGGAAGTCAGCTGCCAGGCACTGGGACAAAGTGTCAGCTGCCACTCTGCACCGCAGCTACCTGTTGACACCCGTGGTCCTCTGCACAGCACAAAGCAGCACGAAGCTCGTGTTCACTGCCCTCCACATCTCATGAGAGTACAAGGTATCATCGAAAAATGTGGCAAATGTTTACATTTTTAGAAGTTTATTACTGTGAAAACACATTGCCAAAAATGATGGGTTGGATGTGTTCAAGCTGAGGGAGGGTATTTCAGGGGAGATTAAGGGCAGCGTGTCTATTACCTGGCTTTGTAGCTGTAAACCTTTACTGCATCTTTTGATCGCTTCTTGTACATCAGCAACAGAACCTTACACCAGTTCCCCACCACAGCGGAGTCTGGCAGGGAGCTGGTGGCTTCTGGTCACTGCAGCTGAGGACGGTACATGGCAGAGATGATGAAATATAGTTCCATGGTTGAAAAGTGAATGAAAAATATGAAAAGATACATAGAAAATTCTTATCTGTCCAAATCCTCTCCCACAGGCCATCACTGACTGTACTTAGGTGATAAGCACTGCCCTTGTGTCCCGCTTTGAAGGATGTTTCATCCACATGCAAACGAGCATGCATTTGATGTGCATATATTCCATTTACTCCTCTTTTATAAACATGATGGCATCCAATACTCATTTTTTAAACCTATTTCCATTTATTTATTTATTTATTTTAAAAATAAAAGGGAGGAAAACATCAACAGATAGACAACCTTTTACAAAATAGCAAAAGAACAGTACAGACAATACAGAGTTACAGACAAAGTGGTAGGAAATTAGCAATACTTGTTGTATTACATATTGCTGTCTTGAAAGTGTTTTCTCATGAAAACAGAGACATGCAATACTGATCAATCAAGGACTCATTGACAGTTTCAGCAAAGAAATAGAAGACAGTAGAACAGCTATGTTAACTATCCTGTATATACGTACATACAAAATTTCTCCTTCTTTCCCTTCTCTTTTCCCACAACCCAGTTGCCCTTTACCCTTAGATGTTTTCCTATCATTTCTCAATGTCTATCATACCACCTAGTTTAAATGAACGCTTTCAGGTTTTACACTAGTGAAACAATGCTGTGCTTGCACATGCAGGTCTATCTGTTTTATTTCACTTATGAGTATGGTCTCTAGTTGTGACCATTTACCTATAAAGGCCTTGAGTTTATCTTTCTTTATAGCTGAGTAATATTCCATTCTATAAAAGTACCACAATTTTCTTATCCAATCCTTGGTGGATGGACATTTGGGTTGCTTCCACAGTTTAGCAATTACAAATTGTGCTGCTATGAACATAGGTGCACATATATCGCTGTGATAATGATGTTTTTAGATCTTCTGGGAAAATACCCAGAAGAGGAATCTGGGTTGAATAGGACCTCTAGACCTAGTTTTCTGAGGAATCTCCAAACTGATTTCCACAGTGGTTTCACCAGTCTGCATTCCCACCAGCAGTGGAGAAGGGTTCCTATTTCTCCACAGCCTCGCCAGCATTTGTTATTGGTTGATTTCTTAATACTAGCCATTCTTACTGGGTTAAGGTGGAATCTCAGTGTTGTTTTAATTTGCATTTCTCAAATGACTAATGATGTTGAACGTTTTCTCATGTATTTATTTGCCATTTGTATTTCCTTATCTGAGAAGTGTGTATTCATCTCAGCTGCCCATTTTTGGATTGGGTCTTTGAATTTGGGGAGGACTGATATTTTTTAATTCTTTATATGTTCTAGATAGAAGCCCTTCATCTGAGGGACAGTCAGCTAAAATTTTTCCAAGTTTGTGGGTTTTCTTTTTACTCTGCTGGTGATTTCTTTAGATGTGCAGAAGCTTTTCAGTAGGATGAGATCCCAGTTGTTGATTCTTTCAAGTGTTTCACGTGCAGTTTGGTTTTTGTTCATGAACTCTCTGCCTACCCCTATGTCTTCAAGGTTTTTACCTACATTCTCTTCCAACAGATTTAGTGTTTCTAAACCTGTTTCCATGTAGTGATGCCTTGGCAGTCTTTCCATGGCAGCACACCGCGTGCTTTCCTCCTCATAGTTGCATAGAGTCTGCTGTAGCGTGTGTAACTAGTCCCATACTAATGGGTATTTGTTTCTATTTTTCCATTACACAACTTCCATAAATGATAACTTTGTATGTGTCAATAACTGTATAAATCACATATTAATAAATTCTAAAGTCAAATTATAAAATCTTTCATTAAAAACTCTGGTTGACAGATGGATAAGTGCATGTGGTATTTCATAATGTGCAATTTTGGGTTTCTTTGGGGATAGCTGCCCTGTATTGCTGTGCAGAAGGTGCCTGTACTAGTCCAGCCAAGGTCATGCTTGGACCTGCCCTTGGCAGAGTAACAGAAAACTCGTTTGTGCAAAGCATGGGTGCATAGGCAATAGTGAAGTAGAGGGTAGAAGGAAAACAGGAGAAGGGAAAGGAAAATCCTGTTACCATTTATTATTGTCATTATCAGCCCACCCCCTGGTGTCCAGCCTGCCAGTGTCCTTCCAGCCCTCTCCTCCCATTTCCCAGGGTCAGCCGTGTGCACGTGGTGAGTAACACCATGACTGCTGCCTGGTATACCCTGTAGTAAGACACTCACTCTGGCAAGTGTAGAAATCTCATAATCACAATTTGGAGGCATAAACACATTTCAGAAATAACGAATGGCTCTCATCTTGTGTGTTAACTTTGATCATTAGGCAGTGGTTGCCTAAAGTGCTGTGGTGAAAGAGATTCTGGCATACGCTGAGGGTGGTTACTGTGAAAAAGCAGAAATTAGCAAATGTCAATAAGGATATGGAGAAATTAGAACCCTGTATATTGCTGGGGGGAAAGGTAAACAGATGCATCCTCTGTGGAAGACAGCATGATGAATCTTCACAGAGCTAGAGTGGCATTACCATATGACACAGTAATCCCACTTCGGGGTGCACACCCGCAAGGAGTGAAGGCAGGAGCCCAGACAGGCATTTATGCCTCTGGGATCATAGCAGCCTTAGCCACAGAAGCTGAAAGGTGGAAACAACCTAAGGGTCAGTCAGTGGAGAAATAGATAGAAGGAAGTAACATGGGTGAGCCTGGAGGCAGTGAAATAAGCCAATCACAAAAGGCCACATGCTGTACGACTACAGTTGTGTGGTTACCTGGAATGGGCACATTTACAGAGATAAATAGATGCAGTAGATGTAAGTAGAACAGTGCCTGCCAGGGGCTGGGGAAGGGAGAGACGGCGAGTTCGTGTTCTGGGCTTGGGGAAGACGACAGCTCCAGAGCTGGATGTGGTGGTGATTGCACAGCAGTGTGAATGTACGCAGTGCTGTGGTACTGTGCGCTGGAACGGTTTTAAATGGTAAGTGTCGGTCACATATGCTTCACCTCAGTAAAAGGACTTCTAAAGGGGTTTGAGTGAGCACAGGCTCAGTGAGTAGGGGTGTGGTCATCCATGCTTTCTTCCAGCCGTGACTGTAGGAGAGGTTGTGGCACACACACACTGGTCGCTAATCTCAGAGCCCTGGCAACTTTAAAGATCGTAGCACAGTAGTTCTAAATAAGAGCTGTGCATCCAAATCAGGCTCTCAGTGACTCTGAGCTGAGCTTGTCATGGGTAGAAACACTAGAAACACTTCTGCCTGAGTCTGATACCCAGCTGTGTTAGAAACCACTGTCTGATGGCCTGACGGAGAGTCCCTTCCTTCCTTCCTTCCTTCCTTCCTTCCTTCCTTCCTTCCTTCCTTCCTTCCTTCCTTCCTTCCTTCCTTCCTTCCTTCCTTCCTTCCTTCCTTCCTTCCTTCCTTCCTTCCTTCCCTCTCCCCTGTCTCTGACTCTTTCTTTCTTTTGAGATAGTGTCTTGCTGTGTTGCCCAGGCTGATCTCTTCCTCCTGGGATCAAGTGATCTTCCTGCCTCAGCCTCCCAAGTGCTGGAACTAACAGGCATACTCTACTGCACCAAGCTAAATGATTCATTTACTGGCTTTGGTAACTGCCTCAGAATCCACTACCAAAAGACCTGTCTGGTTCTGGGATGTTGCATGTGGCCATAGGAAGGGACTCTGAGGACGCATAGTCATTCAGCTGGCTGTACATAGTGGGCGAGTTACGGGTTTGCTCAGCCACTCCGTGAGTGTGTCAGGGCTCCTCTGCTGGGTTCAGGCGCTGTGGTAGTGTCTGAAGAACAGATCTTTTTTCTTGAATTTTCAGCCACTTACTAGGGAATTTGTTTTACTGAATTGGATAAAATGTTCAATCTGT